AAACTAATAATTGTATAAGCCTCAGAAACTTTCCAACAGCTTAATAAAAGTCACATCCAAGTACGTCAGGAACAATGAGTCATAATACAAGCAAAGTCACGTATTACAAACAGAGTTTAACATACAATATATATATATATATATATAATAAGATACTTATATACCGTCAATGGAACTTATCAATACTTTACGTGATCAGGTATTTCAATTGATGGTCCATTGACGGAATTGAATCAATTTATCTATCGGCAATTCATTCTATTTTCGGTACTGGAAAGACTAGTTTATATATTTTAATGTCAATGGATAATATTGTATAAAAGTCGATACACCATTTCTTATAAGTTTTTTCACTTGTTTAAAGTTTAAACTCATTCCAACCCTCTTCTAAGAACACTACTAAGCCCCTAGTTAATTTATATGAACTTAGTGTTTCATTTTACAGGCAATTTGAATGACAAGGATTTAAAACTTGTTATAAATATTTATATTTTTTCTCGATAAGTGTATACAAATTCGTTGACTCCTCAATTGAAGCAGAATTTTCTTTTAAATTTGCCATGTCAATCTATGAGTGAGTAAAGTCAATATTTGCAGAGAGCATTGAACTAGCATGTACCTTGGCTTTGTGATATTCTATTGTCATGGCCACAGGATGCGGGGTCTGCTGTGTTTTAATGATGGCATTCTACCTTACCCTAATGAATATACAATATTTAACGGATGATTATATCGATAATTATTAATAATATTTATCCTCTATATAATATTTCGTTTCTATGTTTATTTAATATTATGTTATACTAGAAGACCCGGTGAACTTCGTATCGCCCTATAATCAAGAAATATCTGTTACTTTTTTTCATTTTTATCTTTGGAGTTTACCTATTAAAGCCATAAATCTCCGTGTTTTGAAGTGCGACAGAATGATTGACATATTAGTTAGTTGTCAAATCTAATGTCAAAAAAGAAACGTTTGTATCAACAACTACTAATAAATTAAAAATTAATTAAAAAAACATTGTCCAGCGGACAAAATTGTGAATCTTAACCATTCCCAGATCCCCTTGAACACACACAAAAAATTTCATCAAAATCGGTCGAGTCGTTTGAGAGAAGTTCAGTGACATACACACTCACAGAAGAATTATATGTATAAAGATATATCCGTTTATACCATCATGTTCGAAGATTTATGAATGAAAATTTTGTGTATGCATTGAGTTTGAGTAAACTCTTGGCAAAGATATTTGTCGTATGATATAAGATGGTGGTATATATTTGCATCAGTTGAAAAGGGATGAGGAATATATAGTTATTATTTAAGTTTAGGATCGAAAAAATATTAAATTTCCGTATGAAAAATAATAAGGGAGTGACAATTAGAATGGACTACCTACTAATATTGATTAAAAATATAGTTATACCTTGTTATTTAAAGATATTTTTTTTTATATACTTTATATAATTAATCTTATTTATAATTCTGCCTGTAGCTAAAATAACGCTGTCTAGGAAATACAATCTACGCTAAATCATACACCTCATTATGTATTCCTGTTCTAACTTGTTTTGATATTATTCTGTTTTACGAATACAATATTTATTTAGTCACTATGATAATTATACTTATATATTTATTAGAAAATTCTTTTAAAATAATAATTTACTTCTAAGGATGTAGAAACAATTTATATCCATCCTTTTACTTAAAGTAGAAATATTTTACACTAAACAAATAAAGATGTATGTTTATGTATATTTAAACCCTCCCATTTTCATACAATTACTTACACTGCAGGTTCACAAAACCGGCAAAATCGGCAAAATTTTTAAATTTATTTCTTGTACTTAATGTATTTTAAAAAGGATATCTAAAGAAACTTGTACATTAAACTTGATTAAACAAAATGATCTCTATAATAATATTTAAATGAGCTATATGAATCTTCATCGATCAATTCTCACCGGATGCCGGCGAGCTGGCTGAAGATTTATACACAATAGCTTGAATTAGAAGCGTAATCTAGCTTAGCTCTGCGAACCCCGAACGACCTACTGACCTGGTGACACTAGCGCAAAACATTTGAATTTTTCATATCTGTGTAACAAAAACAATTACAACTACCTCCATAAAAAATAAAATCAATTGTTTGTTATAGTTTATTAATGTACAATAAATAATTAGTTTTTAATTTGATATCAAAACGCTCTAACAAATTTCCTGAGTTGTACCTTAAAATCACGGTATATGATAGATATACCTACTTATAGACGTGGTGTATCCGGCAACAATGAAACACAAAGAGTTTGCCTTTTATAAAGCAGCAGTGAATAATAGTGGTATCACTCTAAACCCTCCAACTAAAAGAGGACTTAACATACAGAATGGATTCTTATATACAAGTTTCTTTTGTAGATTATTTTATCTAAAAATATTATGTTAGGATGTACATTTGTGAAGGGCACTTCGAGGACACTACAGCATTACGCGTCGTTTGTTAAGATAGTTATGTATGAAACGGTCCTTTGCTTTTATGCATGAAAAACTTATAATAGAAACGCTTACACTTATCTGCGACCTGCTATGACATTATCAGTATAGCCGTAACAATAGAATTAAAAAATTTAAGCTGATGGTTATTTCTTGTTGGATTTGTTTGAAATAATTTAAATCTTCTTCTTCTATCTTCTATCTTCTATATATATAAAAATGGATTGCTGTTCCTTAGTCTCGCTAAAACTCGAGAACAGCTGAACGGATTTATCTTATCTTAGTCTTGAAATGTTCGTGGAGGTTCAGGGAAGGTATAAAAGCTGAAAAAAATTGATTCATTACTGGAAAAACCATAAAAACAGCCCTTTTCTATTTCCCATACAAACGTTCTTTTTGACATTAGATTTGACAACTAACTAATATGTCAATCATTTTGTCGCACTTCAAAACACGGAGATATATGGCTTACAGGTAAACTCCAAAAATATAAATAAAGAAAAGTAATAGATATTTCTTGATTATAGGGTGATACGAAGTTCGCCAGGTCTTCTAGTGTTCTATAATATTTTTTTTTCTCATATAAATGCCCTCAGAGACTCGATCCAAACAGTATCAAGTAGGCTAGAGTTAGCTATGTTTTGTGTTAGCGGAAAGGTCGACGGTAATGTATGGGCTATTTATTTGGTCGAGTTAGAGCTACGTGCTGAGAGTGTTGTTCGGTTAACTGCTTCCATAATATAACAGAAACGGTATATATTATATAAAATACTTAGATTTATCAACTTCATGAACTTACCTACTAGAGTATTGTATTCGTTTTGATTCATCTAATTACCTTCAAAATTAAATATTTATTTATAGATTTTAAAATATGTTTTTATTGTAGAGATATTTCAGTATTTAAGTACGTAACCAATATATCTACTAATGTGAAAAAAATTCGCGGACAAATATAGTATAAAAAACATTATTTCTACATTCTGTAGACCTTGCACTACATCTTTATGTATATAATTCTTCTATGAGTGTGTATGTCACTGAACTTCTCTCAAACAACTGGACCGATGGACAATGTGTTTTTAATTAATTTTTTATTTATTAGTTGATACAAAGGTTTTTTTTTTGACACTAGATTTGACAACTAACTAATATGTCAATCATTCTGTTGCACTTCAAAACACGGAGATTTATGGCTTTAATAGCTCCAAGAAATTCCAAAAATATAAATTAAAAAAAAAAACACGTTACAGATATTCCTTGATTATAGGGCTATACGAAGTTCGCCGGGTCTTCTAGTTATATATGAAATTTTTATAATAATAATATAACAATTAAATCAAGATTTAAATAAAATACTGTCAGGAATGTATTGATACAAAGATTATTATTTATATTAGCTTATTTATGGAGGACATAAATAATTGATAAATTCCACCCCTAACCAAAGATCCATTTACAAGTCATTATCGTTAAACTATTTATCATGTTACGATACTTCCTTTTTTTATTTTTACGAGAATTCTGTTACCATTTTGTAAGGACTTACACGTGCCGAGCATATGCGTCGCCTTCAATGTCACGGAACGATGCATGTGAGAATTAAGTTAAAAGCGAACTTGCTATTATTATAAAATAATTGGTATAAACCAATAATAATAATAATAATACTATTCTAAGAATATCGAAACGCGCTATAGCTTTTCTCTGTAAAATAGATTTCACAAAGACTTTAAAATATATCTTTGAATCGTTCTCAGGAGGTGTAAGAAATGAGTCTCTAATTCAGTACCTTTGAATTCTTGTTCGTAGTTATTTCCATTGTGCCTGAGTTGAAACTCACGGAAACTTTATAATTAATGTGACTGAAAAATTTTACCTGAGAAAATCGAATATTTAGTAGCTAATGGTTTCAATGAAATTTGCAACATTTTAATTAACTTGACGTACTTGTAATGACGAATTCTAAAGGCTCATTATTGTGTAACTTCTTATGTATATATTAAGACAAATGTAAGTTTATACTACAGTAGATTAATAGTCTCCTCTGGGTTTTACCATGTAAATGTGCAACAAATATAAATGTTTTGTCTGGACGCGATAATAGTATCCATTAATTTAAGAAAAGTACGAAAGAGACAGAAAGCAGTTGAATGAAGATTAAACGATCCTTGAATTGATGCTTCCCAATTTAAACTTGAAACGTTGTTCACGTCTTTAGCTATATTTAGTCATAAATGTTAAGCAAAGTATTATATGGGCGTTTTATTTTAAAATATAGTATCTTTACTAATATTTAACATTTCAAAAACACTTTTAACTCTATTGCAAAAAGTACTTTCCGTTCTAAATGAATAAACAAAATTTTTTTTTGTGTACCCTCATCAAAGCGAATCAACGTGGGAGGCTGCGGTCAAAGACAAATTTCATGTATGAATAATATATAACAAAGAGAGAATATACAAAGTCATTAAAGAGATAAAAAAATTACTGTTTATTATAAAAGTTTAATTTTGTTCCAGCATCTCGAAGGCTTAGCGAATACGTTGAATACTACGAGCCTCTCGAGTACGATTCCACATCAATCCACGCGCAGCACATACGCACGAGACGTTCATCTGATGCGCCACATTTGCGTATTAACTTCCATGCTCACGGCAGACACTTCCATTTGCGTCTACGAAGGGATGTATCAGCTTTTAGTACGGATTTTAAAGTAAGTTCCACGCAATACATTCAAATATTACACTTTCCCTATTGAAGTATGTTCTCAAAACGGAAAACATTTTATATATGCTCGTAACGTAAATCTTTTCAATTCAAAGCATGTAAATCCAGAGTGCTGAAATATTGGCTCGTTCGAATGGATTTTCCACCTTAAAAATGTAGTAATTGAACTATTCTCCTGTAATGGTACACGTAAATTGCCCACTTATAATACGAAATTCACGCTCCGTGACGTTCTAAAGCACGGCCCGGGATGGAGCCGCAGTCTGCAATTCGTATAGCGAATTGTACCTTCGCTCAAACTATGAAGCTATCCGAGTTTTCAGTTAAAATATCTGGCTTGAAATAGGATTTTTTTTTTTATTAAAAAGTTTTCATATTCTTTATACTAGGGCTTTTATATTCAAAAAAATGTATTTTTCAGGTTGAAGGAGCGCAGGGTCAGCTACATGATGTTGACACATCACACATATATCAGGGAGATGTGGTTGGTAAGTTGTCCTTACATACATACACTTTATTCTATTACGCTCAAGTCAAAAATATAATCATACTAAAAAAAATCTGTTATAAATTAAAATTAGTGGATACTAATGAATAAAACCATATATAAAGTAATAAAATGTAGTTACAGTTTGCGGGTGACCTAACCCTTAAACCCATTCGTTATTGTGCATCCGAACGATGCTTACGTTATCAACGTTGAAAAAGATCGCCATTCAGCCTCGCTTGTGAGTTGTCAGTGAAAATATATTCTGTTTAATCAATGGCTGAATATCGCGTACTCAGACTTTTAGTAGCATGAAAAATGAATCCGTTCCCTTCATTAATAATTCCGGATTCCAGAAAATATGTTTCTTTTCGCAATTACGGTCTCGTCGCCGTCAAAGTCCCTGGCTAATTGGGAGCGTTCGGTGGCCACTTGACTTTTAATGTCGGAACGTACTTCGAATACTGTTGGAATACTCACATCAACTATATTTCATGTTTCTCTTCTTCTGTTATATGCAATAAAGACCGTGATTTAAACAATAACTAAGATAATATTAACGTTAGTCGTTAATTTCAAAATTCGTAAGCATTTTTGTATGTCAAATAAGTTTCGATTTATCTCAAGTTTGTGCATGATCTTGTAGGCGTCTGTTGGTCATTGCGTAGATGTCCCAACTCCCAAGTACCAGCGGTCCTTGTGTAATGATTGTGAAAGTTTGGTACAGTGTAAATGTATAAAGTTGCGAGGGTGGTGCGGCATCGATCGCAGTTCGTCGCCCTACTTACCGCTCTTCCGATGCACTTAGCCACCGAGTTGGAAACAGTTATAGCTATAGATATACTAGAGATAGCCCTACGGTGACGTTCTTGAGAGTTGTCGCAGCAGTTCACCAAGCTTTTATCGACATCCAACGATTCCACTGATATATATCCTATTTCAAGGCGTTATAGCCGCTTATATTTCTCAACAACTGTCTGTCTAGGTATAACATTACAACTTAATGAATATCCTACTTTATATTTTTCATCCACAACGGCACTCCGGTCAAAATATTAAAGAGAGTGATGAAAATAAAACAGGTAGCAGTGAGCCCTTGTGACTTATGAAAATGAGCGAGCATTTTCCGTCGGACTCTTTAAATTTTACTAAAGACATTTTCGGAGCCCTGTGGTTTTTTCACAAAACATAACATCTCTCGTATTTACTCTGCTTAACGTAATATTTTAATGCAGGTCTGGCTCGGATTTTTTATGTACAAGTTCGGACTATTTTTTTTTAACTCTGTGGTCCTCGGCGTTTTTTCTTTATGTTCCCGTTATTTGTTGTATTTTTTTTGAGTTCTTTTTGAATATTAAAATGGCATTCGCATAATATTATATATAATATGTACAATTTATATATATATAAAATTACGAGAGCGTTCTCCCATCATGCGCTATCATTATTTCTAAATGGATCAACCTACTATCATAAAATATGTTCTTAGAAAGCGTATGTGATAATTTATTATACATTTCCTCGGGTACAGATAAAATGCTGTCAGTGATATTCACGATCCCGGGAATCATATGATGAACTCTCGTCATCATAAATAATATTTGTTTTAATATACACTATATGTCATTAAAATATCGATTTATTTTATAACATTTATTATGAAATATAGGTAGCTAAATATTCTAATAAAATTTGTTAAATACATAGTTGGTTTCAAGTGATCCAGATCATGAACTATTGTGTCAAAACTTTTGTGACATCTATCCTCTGGTGCTGACCTTATTCAGAAATAAGTTCGACTAAATGTAATCAAGATTAAATCTGTATGTCTTACAGTAATAATAGAACTGTTTAGACCATGAATATTTGTTTTCTAGCACTATGTATAGTAGTTAAGTATGGAAAACCGACTATAACCAATGCTTAAAATAGTTACAAAACAATATAAACTTGGACCTCACATTCGTTTATAAATCTCGACAATAAGCAATTTTAGCGTAATCAATATAATTTTTGTTCTATATTTCTTGTTTATTGGTAAAAAAGGGGTAATAAAGAGATATACAAGTCATATCTAGTAATTTAAAAATGTTTTAGAAATACGATAACGTCGTTTAACGTGTGCTGAATAGATGCTACAATATTGTTAGGGTAATTTATGCGGGTCTAAGCGGTTAGGTACGCCTGTAACTTGTGTGATAGAGGTGATATTTTCTGATATTATCATGTCATTAATTTTAAATTACATACATATGTATATAAATGCATACATTTTATTCCTTCAAGATTTATATGTATCAACTCCTATCTACATAGTAATATAAACAGGTCATACATATTAACCTCCTGTGCTTTAAATAATTATGAGGTTAGCAACGAATTTAATTGTTTCCTTGTTTCTTTAATGATTTCATTTAGACGAGGAAGTAGGTATATAGAGTAGATCGTTATTATTACAAAACACTAACTGCATGAAGAGTAATTTGAAATAACTGAATCGTGTTATTTGTAGTATATTAATATATTTTATAAGTGTATACAATTTAATTAACATTAGCCTAGCACCTACCTGTTCCATTTTAAAAATGTTGTAAGATAAGGCTGCTCTATTAACTTGGATCTAGGTGAGAGTGCTCAACTTAAAACTCAGCCAGTAAATGTATGTCACAATAAAACGTTTTGCAGTATAAGTATCTGATAAGTTCCCAACGAGGAAATTCACTTTTATTGTAACTCGTATGTACTCCGTTTGTTTGATATCAAAAATCTGAATAGAAATTGAATTTCTCATATCTTTAAACTTATATTAAAATACTTTCTGAGTACATATTGTATTGCATCTGTCTTCATCAATGTGGTTATATTAAAATGATATTTCCTACCGCATAGTTACTAGATGGTTATTGATATATGAAAATAATGCTTAAATTTCATTGAATTTGCATATCCCAGTGTATTGTCACATTTATTAGCTGTCACCTGTTTCAAAATAAAGTGAGTCACCGCTTTGCGATGTAATCTATTCAACCCTAATAATATTTGGACACGGAAGGCTTACTACGGATAGTTTTGTTTCACATTAATATATAAATTTTATGTTATATTTTGATATAACGCCATTATAACATTTTATTCGTGTAACAGGAAAAATTTAAATATAAACGTGTAATTGTATGTATTTTTGTTTAAGTATTTTTTGGAAGATTTGATACAGTCTTAGTAGCATCTTGAAATTATATTAAGGTTTGGTTACACTATTTTTTTTTTAATGGAATTATTTTGGCGAACAGTTTTCGTCAATTATAGTTTTAAACGTGAAGAAAAATAGCATTTAAAATCTTGACTTGGTTATAAATTGATTGTTACAAAAAAACAAGCTCGTATTTAGTTTATTCCCACACTCTTAATTTATCATTAATAACATATACCACCCATTAATCAGTAACAAGAAAAAATATACACACACACACATACATACAAAAAATATTGGCACGTATATATTACTATTATTGTATGGACTCGATAGATATATACAGACAGGCTTCAAACCGGACTTGCCGTTACAAATGCTGAACGAGATCTCGACACCATTGCCCATACATTTTGATAATTCATCATCATTATAAGAACAGCATCCTATATTCGGTACAAGCAATTACTTTATATCAAAATTAACTGTTCCACGTACCACACAATCTGAGAGTGATTAATATTGAGATATACGTATAGCAAACTTTATATATAAAATTATATTGAACCATAGAATAGATATCGTTAATTCCTACTAATATTTTAAATGCGAAAGTAACTCTGTCTGTTTGTTACGCTTTCACGCCTAAACCACTGAACTGATTTTAATGAAATTTGGTACAGAGATAGAGTTGACTTTGAGAAAAAACATAGGATAGTTTATATCCCAGACTTTTGAAAAGTTCTTTTGAAAACACGATGTAACCGAACACCACGCGGGCGAAGCTGCGGGCGGAAAGCCAGTATTATATATAAACAGTTGTCTAATAACTATTAATTTATGAAGTCACCCCAAATATACCTGGGGTCTGATAAGCGAGGGGTGATGGAAGTATTTTCATAAACTGTTACGAACCCAGATCGTACCTTGTATAATATATACCATAGAACCACAATACACCACAACTATATTAGTTTACTTTGTAATTTAACCACGTCTGCTCAATACATTGTTTGCTATGTTAATATTGTTTAAGAAAATAATGCTTATTACACTTTAGATAAGATTCGGGAAATATATTGGTTTAGTTGTGTAAGTTGTTATAACAAATTATTATTTAGTCCATTAATATGTAATTAATTAGTAAGTTATATTGTTTTTTAGTGTTTTGTTTGCGAAATCATGTTATAGGTGACATGTATTAAAATTTTCAGAAATAATTCTATTTTTATATGCTTTTTTTTGCTTCTTATATTGAACCCCAGTTATAGTAAATTAACAATTCATGTTACTTATTTTAAATGCACAATTCGCAACGTTTGAAACCTAAGTCCTTAGATTTCTTATCCTTTTTGTATAATTGTATTTTTAATTAAAGTATTGCTCTAAATGAAATTTTAATATAACAGTTTCGTTACAAAAGAAAATATTTTATATTTTAAAATCCTAAAAATAATTAAAAATATTTAAATGAATTTTTATATTATGATGTAGCTTTAGAAGAATCAGTTTTCGTTTTTATAATCAACAGTTTACCACTTTCAACAGAAACAACAGCCTGTGTTTATTTCAATTATTCAGAAATTGTATCAGAAAACATTAGGCCTTTTATATATTTTTTATATGAATACTAGCCTATTATACGAATGGTCTTTCAAAATCAGAAATATGAAATCCCATATCTTTGACATTTACCAACGGTAAGAACATTGTATAATATCATTTCGTGGTCTTTAGAACGACATTTCTATCGGAATTTTGTCAGTTATTAAATTTACAATAGTAGTGGCCTTTGATAAATTTGTCTTATATATCGTATCAAATAAAGAATGTGACATATTTTATATCGCTATCATCTAAATTTATAAAATGCATGATTGGAATATATTTGAACATTTAAAAATCGCATCCATTTCAAAGTAACATTTAACGCACCCGTGCTTTCAAGCCGGGAGCGTATCCGTTATTCAATTTAATATTGATGGAGTAATAAAAAAAGCTGGGGACATTTCACTGTTGGTTAATGTCTCTGTAGTTTGAGGTCGAGTCACAAGCTGCTTTAATGTATGGTCAGAACTCAGAAGCGCTTCACCGCTTTAAGGTCATTGTATTGACGAAGCGCACAATAGGGACTGTATTGATGAATAGCGGTCAATGTAATAAGTTAAAATTATATAACTAGTTTTTGCCTGCGACTTTATCCCTTAGAATTCGGTATAGGGCTCAGATAGAAATGAATGAATATATAACAAACCGGTAGGGACATCTGCAGATTTGGTCATGTGACTTCACACACAATATGACAATTATTCCCTGATCGTAATGGAACAACATGGAATTATTGAATAAATTATAGCCTATATCTTATTTCGATGTCTAAGCTATATTAATATAAAGTTTCAGAAAAATCCGTTTAGTAGTTTTTGAGTGAAAGGGCAACAAACATCCATAGATGCTCAATGCTCATAAAGCTCCGTAATTATACGACTGTAGTAAGAAGCATTTCTTTTTATACAAAATTTACATACATATGATACGATCATAAAGTTATTTCATTATAAGACTTTTATAATAATATTTAATTGTATCTTGATATCCTATATATGTAATGTTTCTAAATTATTATTTTTACTTTTGGCAATCTGGATTTTATCTGAGGACTCAAAAAGAAAAGGACATTTTTCTAACTTAATTAAATGTAGTTTAATTTACAAATATAATTTTTATTACACATTCGCTCATTCTGAATAAGGAGTCAGTTACTTCTGAAAGCGAATTTATGTAATTGATTCATATAATAATAATAAATTATTAATTTCCTTATATAAAATAACAATATAGAAGGAAGAATAAATACAATTCGGAGGATTCTCGGAAACGGAAAAGGAGAAACGGGAATTTGATAATATAATACAAAAAATATATTTTTGTTTTCATTTTAACAAACTTCTATAGAGTTTTGTATTGAAATAAAGATAAAATATAATACGCTGTGACAAATAAAAGCATACGAACTTGTAACATAGGAGTATTCGTTTTGTAATTCTTGAAAAATCAATATACAGTCAAAACCGTTTATAACGACATCGTTTACAACGACCTATCGGTTATTACAGCCAGATTGTATGGTCCCGTACGAATTGCTAGTAAACTATTCAGTATACAAACCGCTTATAACAACATCGGATACAGCGACATATCTCTTACAACGACGAAACTTTATCGATATTAATCGACTATAACGACCAACCGCTCCTTGTCTCAGCAAAACAAAATAATACAAACGATTTTAAATCTTATTGATAAGCATTGATGAAATATTTCGGCATATTATTACTTACGCACGTTCTCTCAGCTTATTCGATGACAACGAAAATGATATTCCGCTAGCGAGACTGATACAATCTACAGATGAAGATGACAACGTACCATTTGCTGAGCTGGTTACCCAATTGCAAAGATCTACTGCTACAGACCAAAGAATTGAGATAGAGGAATTTATTAGAATAGATAACAGTGTCGCCGTGTGCACCTTAGCTACTGAGGAAAAAATTCTTGCAGAAGCTGAAAGCAACAACCGTAACTGACGAAGAAAACGAAAACCAACAAGACTTGTAGAACAATTTCAGCCAACAACAATTTCCGAGGCTCTTAACGCTGTAACAGTTTTGCAAAAATGTGTCCTTTAAAGAACAGTTTGATATTGATGATACTCATACCTTGAGGAGTATGAAACGTAAAATGCTAAAAATATTTAAGACTGGGCTAAAAAAGACAGGCTAAAATGACTAATTACTTTAAAAACTAGTGTAGTTTACAACCGGTAACTGTAACCAGCTAAGTACATTTTTTATTCTAATTATTTCAAAATAAATATTTTTATTTATTTTCTGACTCCTTTACATAATCTGTACCTATACTAGAAACATATGTAACTATATATGATAATATATATAAGTACTGTACTTGTGTATGTAACTGTATTGCTTAAAACGACTATCGGATATAACGTCGCAACGATACGGTCCCTACAATGTTATTGTTAACATACATATTAATAATATTAGTTTTATAAGAAATTTTGTATAATTAGTTATTGTATGAAGAAATAAACTCGCATACAACCTTGTTGTATTTGTAAATAATGTACGAAATAATAGCAAAGATATTTATAATATATAGATGCTAAGTCACATTTTAATTTTATGTTGGAATTCACACTGTTTTAGGTATTTTCATAATATTCTCTCTCATCATTGTAAATCGCAATTTTTAAAAGCCCCATTCATTAACTCTTGTTTTATACAAAACTGATTGAACTAATACATCACTTCGAATATATCCCACATCATGAAATAGTTACCAAAAAGATGAACTACTGAAAACCTTATACAAAACATATGTATTATTATAATAGTGTCCACAACAATTGTTCTTCCTGAAACACATTATAGTGTCATGTGAAGTCTTTTTATTTATATAACAAGTCTTTTTGTATCAAAAATAACAAAATTGTTTGATGACGAAGTATAGAAAATTGGCCGTATTGATACATTATTGTTGCAGTCACAATAGACCACTCAGGATGCTCATTAGAGGAGCTCATTACAGCACTGGATTTGTGAATGAAATTAACGATATAGTCTTCTGTATACAGTACTAGTTTATGCCCGCGACTTGTCTACGTTATTTTCGGAATTAGAAATGTATAGATGACCGGGCGAACTCTATTCTTCCTTAAAGACAGTAGATAAGAAGATTTTTTTCGTTTTCAATCGAATAAAAATTATTCTATGTCCTTTCTCTTGTTATAAGCTATATATCTGTACCAATTTTCAGCCAAACCAGTACAGCCGTTCTCGAGTTATAAATAGTGTAACTAACACGACTTTCTCTTATATATAAAGGTTCTACTATAATCTAAAGACAATGAAATAAGTTTTAGCTGTTATAAATATTGAAATGCATAAAAGTTATCGAACAAGTAGTACCTAAATATCTATTTATCCATTTTGTCATTAATTTGTGGAACAAAATCAACAAACCTTTCTTATATTGATTAAAGAAGACTTAGTTTAGGCAATATTGAAATAAAAGCAACGACTTTCGTTTGTCGGATCCCTTGTAATACTACAAAACTGCCGGCCTTGCAATTCCATACTAGGCACAGATGTCCAAATTGTAACGGAAACTATAATTATAGGCCTGTTGCTTTTTGCTATAAGGCCACTATCATGTATCTGAATGTGAAAAGCAATTAGCAAATTACTAGCTTTTAATTTATTTGTGCGGATATTCCAACATTTTTCTAATAAGTGGCAATTATGGAACCGTTTTTCAATATACGGTACTTATAATTTATTTTACTGAATGGCGTACGCGGCTTTTGTTCGTTTTCAATAAATTTATCTTAACTCGATAATGTTTCTACGAAGTGGATTCTTTTTGTACGTATTTTGATTGCAAATATATGTTATATGTTTGTGTTATTTATGATTTTATTTAAAAAGGTTAAAAATATTATTTTGTTGGAGTTTAATTTAAATGTATTGAAATACATATATATTTTTGATATAGTGCTTATGACTTGATCGTTAATCGGACGCCTTAAAAGTTATTACGATGTTTCTGTACGATGGTTATTGCGTTATATATTCCAGTCGCAATATTTATATAAATTATACTATCGTCCAAACCAGATGGATAGAAGAATAAATATTTCGTAACGCGTATATTTTAGAAAAAAATTGCTTCGTGGCTCAACGGGCTAATATCGATTTCGTATTTGCAATATAGATTCCAACTTCGATGTCATATAATAACTTAAATTTTCTTCATTCCAGCTGCGTCACTATCTTGTATGTTTTATGTATTTATTTGTTTACCAACAGACGAGCCCGGTTCAACGGTTTTCGGTTCGGTGACGGACGGCGTGTTCGAGGGTAAGATAGTGCTGAACGACGGTGCCTACTATGTGGAGCACGCCCGGCGGTACTTCCCACCCAACAGTACGAAGACTCGCGTGCATTCTGTTATATACCACGAGGGGGACGTAGTGGATCCGTATGCTCATAGGAGACACGGTGAGTCATATACACACACACACACATGCACACGCACACATACATACAGAGAAGTATATGTATATATAGCCTTCTGATTGCATATTCACTTTTAGTATAAAACATAATAGACATTTTATTAAGTTTTTTCTATGTTTTACGATTTCATAACTGTGAATGTCAGAGATATGAATTAAAATAAATAAACTTAATAATATGTTTACCTGATACATTGCAAATAGAAATTAATTGAAGTTATAATTAATAAATTTATGTTTAAAATCTGTTTATTGCTTTAAATTTTATTACCTCAGTGGTTTTTTATTTATTTCAAAGATTATTTAATGAGAGTCATGGAATGGCTTCATATTATTAGATGGTTTTATTTGTGATAGAGCTTTTACAACGTTTATGTCGAATATATAAGATTTAATTAATAATTAGGAATACAGCGAGGTAAATTAATTATTTAAGTTATTAAACCGCATTAGTGCAGGTAACGAAGTGGCTTACACTAATGCGGAACAAGATTAAATCTAGAAATTGGAAACTAGATGTAGCCCGTAGATGGCACGAGACACAAGTTTGTTTTGGTTACGCCACAGTGTGTCGCTCTGCAAATGAGTTGCAAGGTCGTTAACAAACTTTAATCCCATTTGCTGGTAGCTGTCACTGGCTGATTGCTACAACGCCTGCAACTGCAAATTCGCTACAATTTATTACCGGACATTCTAGAGCTTTATTGGACAAAACTTGTGTCATAAATTAATTGAATACAAAACGATTTTAATACTATCAGATGGTTCAATCAATTCTGTTCCATTGTCTTCGTGTATATAACGCTTCTCTCAAAGTCCATGATCAATGACAATAACAATCTGCAATATTTCACACTTGTGTCAGCACAGATACGAAACCGTTGGCAACAATAACACTGCTGTGTTGATAATATATATTTCTTTGTTCTGAAATCGATTTCAAACTCTTTTATCGCACTATACAACGCCTCCTAAGCTTTAAGTGACAATTCAACATTCTCTCACATTCATCTGAAGTCTGATTAGAACAATGTAATGTATTTCTGTTTTCGGTTAAATAACAGCAATAAAAGTGATCCAATTCAGTGTCACATCATACATATTCATCGTTTGAATCGTAGGCTGCTCCCTGAATGGTAATTTAGCGTAAACAACACCGCACCGACGTTAGGGTCTAAATTTTTGTCAACTCGGCAGACACAAATTGTGTGGCTCTAAAAGAAACGTTCGCCGTTAAATTTGGATGCCTGTGTTGGTGACGCTGTTCTTTTTTTTATTATATTATTTTTCGTTAGCTCCGCCGCTGACACTTTGTCTTTCGGAGCATTTTATTTTTGTGATAAATTAGTTTTTGCCCGCGATCACCATGTCGTAACCTCGCCAGCAAAATGAAAAATTGACTGCTTCCTAACTTTTAATCACTTAGCGACAGAACTAACAAAGAGTAATGGTTCGAAAATATATTCGAAAAGTTCCTATACACATAGTGAGTTTTATTAAACGCTTATTTTTATATAAGCCAATAAAAAATAAGAATGTATCGTTTTTTATTTAAATAGATATATATTGAGTAAACAGGATGGGTCGTGTTTAGCTGCATTTGTTTTCATTACAATCTATTGGACAGTTGTATAGGGGTGGACCCTTTTTATTCTTCGTCCATGCATTTGGCATTCTAATAACGAAGAGTATTTGAACGGAACCTTATTTTGTAATATTGCTTTCTGTATTATATGACATTTCCCCTTATTTTAAATTACATTAATTTAAGTTATATTAAATTCTCTGATATTTTGGAACTAAATTACCTACGTATTATGTTAAAGTTACTAAAAAAAATATTTGTTTAGTTGAAAGTTATTGGAAAAAATTATTATTTATTTCGACTATTAAAATTAGTTTCGATATGAAAGTTTTTTTTAATTATGCTAAGTAAATTTTTACAATATTTTGAACCAAAGATTTACATAATTAAATTCTATAACTTATTTTTTTCATATAAACAAAGTTCATACTTTAATACAATAAATAATTATTATCGTAAATCTCTTGTTTTGATGGAACTTCAAACAAAATCCAGATGTAAGTCAGAGATATTAAAGTTGCATGCATCATACTAAACATTGTTATTGCACATAAGTCATGGTTCATTTATCAAACGTAGTGTATTATAAATTCAGTGGATTTGTTTACCGAGTCAGGTTTGCAAGTGCGGGAGTATTGTACCCATCAAAGTGATATAGTCTTGCCTATTCCGGCTTTCATGTCTCAATTGGGAGCGGTTTATTATCAAATTTACTGTATAACGTATGACTGAATTAAAAAAATATACGCCTAAGTTTAAGAACAAGATCTTTGAACAGTTTTACAACAATTGAATTACATTATGCGTCATCGATTGAAAAATTTTGTATCTTCTTGCATTAAAATTTTGTAATAGAATGAATGAAAGATTACAAATAACTTTAACATGTAATAAAATGTAAATATATTAAATAAAATAATTACATTTAATAAGAAACCAACGGCAAAGGAACTGCACACGTATTTTATGATAACAAGTCTCGAGAGTCTCGACCGATGCTTTTGAAAAATGGTGCATTCCCAAGAAACAGCCGTCTCAAAGTAAAATGACGTTGTTAAGTTGTTTGTGCAAGGAATATGTATGTAAAACGTTGTTAGTTGAGACCTTTTTGTTTTTAAGAGCTCGTAGAAACATCTTTGTTCTAACATTTCTATATTAAATCTTTATATATATAATTCTTCTGTGAGTGTGTATGTCACTGAACTTCTCTCAAACGACTGGACCGATTTTGATTAAATTTTTTGTGTGTGTTCAAGGGGATCTGGGAATTGTTTAGATTCACAATTTTGCCCGCTGGACAATGTTTTTTTAATTTATTAGTAGTTGTTCATACAAACGTTTATTTTTGACATTAGATTTGACAACTAACTAATATTATGTCAATCATTCTGTCGCACTTCAAACACGGAGATTTATGGCTTACAGGTAAACTCCAAAAATATAAATAAAAAAAACGTAACAGATATTTCTTGATTATACGGCGATAGGAAGATCGCGAAGTCATTTAGTATTTTTATGAAATCTTATATTTATATCTGAAATGTTGAGACATTAATGATATAAACATTTGAAAATTTTTATCGTCATTGAATGCTAAATTAATGATTTTAATTGATATGTTGTATTAATAAAGTAATGAGATCTGTACTTGAAGCGGACGAGCAACAGATGTTCGTATCGACTCGACACTACTTCATTGAGATGATTAAAGTAATTCAAGCACGTACTTTGTCAATTTGCTGCCTCACTCATTCAATACAGCTGGTGGATTAATTGATTAATTACTTCTAATGATAAAAAATTATCGTATTTATATAACGTCTGTTATTGGAACTGGTATAAAATTAAAAAGGGCTGAATGGGTGCTGTTTTTAAGGCACAGAGCGTCAGGCAGTGCATTTTAACGAAGCTGCTATACGCTACCGCGAGATAACGGAAATTACTGGCTACGGGCGTAATGCCTACCCAGCGTACAAATACCATATTTACAGACTATGCGAGTGCCTCATTAGAGTCCTCATGCAATTTTTATTTTACAATAGCGCTTACGATCCCCCCCTACACGAGTGGTTATGAAGGCTTCCCTCCCTCTTTATTATTTCCCATTCGGTATTGTACATATGATTGCAATTTTTAATTCATTGGTACTTTAATAATATTGAATTGAATTTGTTTCCACTGAAGTTAACTTGTATGGTGTATACAAAATTTATATGTATTTTTAAATCAACATGAAAATTGTCATACAAATGTAATGTATTAAGTTTAACGAAAATTCAGTCAAAAGCTGGCTAACATGTTTAGTATTTGCAAACGGTTGCGAACTCTAGCAACTTCCCTCATTTACAGTTGTCCATAGGCATTGGCCTCTGTTAGTTTGTTTGCTCTTTTTAACATCTACATTACGATATTCTGAATCTTAACAATTCCATACAGTATCTATTAGTTTGCCACAGAAATGTATAAGATTATGTAATTAAAATGAAATATAAGTAGGTCTGTTTAATTTAAATACGCTTTTATCGCCTGTATGATAAAAAAAATCTACGCATTTTTTCTACTCTCTACGTTCATTAACTCGAAACAGGGTTTAGGTAACAGATTATATTTATAACTGCCAACCCTTTTCATACCTATCTCCTATTCAACGTGACCTCAGCGCCTTTTAAATATAATTGAGAATTTTCTATACAAAAACAGGACTAAAAGAACATTGAGCTTACTGTTAAAAAGGCTTAGTTTTCATTTATAATACAATAGATTAATAATGTCTAACTCCAAACGATTGGTAGACTTCCGACTGGGTAAAGCAGTTATCCTTAAAAGGTGGTACATTAATCACATTGTGCTTAGCTTACATATAAATATAGCTGCAATTCCTTTAGTATACTTGCAGGTGGTGGCTAGAACAGCTGGCTCACAGCAGTTAAATGATTTCTAGAGCTATTTCCAAAATTTATGTTAAAATTTTTATTCAAAACATGCTCTTATATTTCTGTCTTCTAAGTACGTAATGTTTATTAACATAGCAATTACTTAAATCGCTATATGAGAATGTATTTCAGAATTAACTAGATGTGTTTGTTTTAAATTAGAATTTAATTCTGCTATCTCTTGAGCATTGAACAATAATGTTATATGAGAATAAGTGGTCTTTCAACATCAGTTTGCATACCCCAAGTTTGAACTATCACACTACATACGGAGAGTTAACAGTTTCTCATTCGTAAATCTTCACACATCTTAGTATAGTTATACAATAACATACGTTGATACTAAAGTGTGCTAGAAAACTTGTGTTAAGTGTATGGAATAGTAAGTTTATTGAATTTAAACGATATGAACTTTATATATCTTGGCTCGTATTATTTTACTCCAATGTTACTATATTGAAATGCATCTGTATTATATTCTATGACTAAGACGGCGTCGCGACGTTGGCGGACGGTATTTTTTTTGTATTAATCTGTTTCACGAAGCGCGATAACTTGAACCTCAAAGTTGGATTTACTCATGAATAATTCGAAACATTCCATTGCATTATGTAAAATATGACGACCCGCTCTCCGTCGTTGTGATATTGATTTTTTTCGTTGTCTCCATAGTATAGAATAATGGAAAAAATATTGGTACATTCTGTGATGAAACATTTGTTCATGTTATATTATAATGTAGGCGGAGTTTTGATTAAAATACTGTCAATTAGTTTATCCGTAATGTTTGTTGTTTTTTTGTCTTTAATCGAATTCGAGAAAGGAGGTTCTCAAGTTAATGACTTTTTTATTATGTTACGCGAAGATTCCTCCAAATAAGAAATCTATTTTGAACAAATATCTCTCTTTTGAAGATTTGTTCCTCTAAGACGGTACCGTATAAGTGTAAGCTAAATTAGTTGGCCAGTTTCTAAGAAAAAAAAACTTTACATAATTAATGTCTTGGGTAGTGGTTCTCTATAAAAAGTTTTAGATGATATCTCACATAATTACATTTATTTTCAAGTAAAAAAATAAGTTTCGACAACATTTAATTGAGATACATTTTATAGGATAGGCATAATGTTAGTACAGAATAGATAATGACATAGACGGAATGTATGCATGGTCGCTTGTAAAATGTATATACAACAATTCTATACATTATTTTGTTAACTTATGCTGTCTAGACGTAATAATAGTATCTGAGGTCGTTGTCGGATAATATTGGCACATGCGTTTACTAATGTTCGTAGGACCGTTAACGTGGCTATAAACTTGTAAAATTCTAAAGCATTTTCATAGTATTTAATAGATGTCAAGTTTATAAAAGATTTATTACATAACATATCATAAGTATACTCTTCTTCTACCTGGCAATTTCCCAGCTTTAGCCAGTCTGCCTTACGTGTTGTGAATAGTTTTGGCTAATTGTTTTTACGACCGGCCGCCTGCCTGACATCAACCCTCTTTGATAATGCATTAATCAGTGATGTCTAAATACTCTTAGAAAGTACATATGACTCGGAAAAATCACATTGGTACTTGCCCGAGCCAGGATCGAACCCGCGTTCTGAGATGAGAGGCGGGCTTTTTAACCACTAGGCCATTACTGATTTATGAATCATATAGTCCTAAGTCTAAAGTATATGTGATGGTTGTGTCCGTAGGTCACGTTGGTGGTTGTGGTGTGACCGATGAAGTGGTACAGTGGATGGAGCGTATACAGAATTCTGGTGTTGATGATGAACCTACCACCACTCCGATGCACTCACCTGCTCCCAGCCAGCCTCATCCGAACAGCTTGAGAGATGATACCACCAGGTATGAAATAGTCCATTAACACGATTCAATAATTGCTTAAGTATTTTTCCAACTGATATTACGGTCTCAAGACATAAAATATGTATTAGTTGACTTAATTAAATGAAAATTTTAGTTTATTGTTACTGTAATTATCCATTATTGGTATTAAGTATTAATTTTATTTCATAACAGGCTTATAGTTCAAATTGTATTATATGTGTGCTTGCTATTATTAGTAATTTCAAACGGTACAAGTATTAAGAAAACAAAAAAGTGCGGTGTGATCTTAATATTTATGTACCTATGAGAGGATGAAATACATAATATTTGCAAAATGTTTCTTGTTATCTGTAATGCGACATGCAATAGATTGACTAAAAAATGTGAGGCTATAAAATAAAACTGCTCCAAAAATAATAATTTTTCAAGTCAATACAATTAAAATAACTTTATATTATTAGATTATCCTTTTTTCAAATCAAATATGTATGCACTAGGCAATAAACTTATTAAAAAAAGTATCCTTTTTATATATATAAATATGAAATATGAAGTAATATTTCATATTTCGTATTTTGTACATTTCAATATATTTATTTTTTTTCCGTGTAAAATTTACTGTTTGTGGTGTACAATAAAGTATATTCTATCTATCTATCTAATAAATAGGCATTTGATTTAGTACAAAAATAAGTTGATAATAAATGTATTGTTAGTAAATATAATGACGTCTAGTACGATAAATATATTCTTCATATAAAATTTATTTTTATTAACGCGATACTAACATCCTGTCCAGAATTATCAGTACTCGCGTGTTTCCCACAACTGAAAATTATTATTGTCATAAAATAACATCATTAATGATTAATTATCAATTTTGTAATATTAAAATAATTAAGTCCTCTCGTTGTTTCTCTGCTGCAAATGCTCCGGCTTAATCTAAACTTTGAAAGTAGCTTATAAGCTACTTTCAAAGTTTAGATTCTATAGACTTACTCTTTCGAGAATAGCTTAGAAGTTGTCCACTATATAGATGAGATGAACTTTCATCTAATTATATAAGACAAATCAGTTCGTTGAACTTTTAATCTACGCTTCGTATATTTGCATTGCTTTATTATATTACATATATTAAGGAAACTAACTTATTATTTTAATGTATACCATATGTTGAGTCTTTTTAAGTCTTTATTATTTTATGTAGTGCTATAATACGTGTTAATTATTTTGCATCAAGCAATTTTCCTTATAAAGCGGGATATGGAAATACACAAATAACGTCGATAATAAAATCCATGTTTTCGTAACACTATCAGTAATATTTCATAATATTAGTCATGTTTTTATAAAATATCTCCTTTTATTTGAGTCACTCAATTCAAACATAATTGTTATTCCTGTTCATGTTATGTTAAATTATAATTTACTATACATATAAATATATCAAACTTAGTTCCAGACATTGGGACTTCAACCATTACAATAAATATTCACGAGCGGCGAACACGAACGAACACACGCGAACACGTCGCGCTACGGAGGGTAAGGCGAAGAACACGTGCTCGCTGTACATACAGACTGACCCATTGATATGGAGACACGTTAGGGGGGGATTCCCTGATGTAAGTACTATATATATTATATTACAGACTATGAAATATGTAACCATATACTATTTATAGATTTTTGATATGATTTTCTCAGAAATAACATCATTTTTTTCAATTATTTTTAAACCTTCAAATAGATATTATATGTTAATTATTCCTACATACATTTTCTTTTTTAACATGATCTGTTACACTTACGAAATCTTAACGAATTTAATCCTTACTATATTGATAATAATAATTCCAGCACATGGATATGAATAAGAAAAACGAAGTGGATATGAAGACGCGTGAGGAAATATTGTCTTTGATTTCACACCACGTGACGGCTGTCAACTATATATACAGATATACGAAGTTCGACGGACGCAAGGAACACAGGAACATACAGTTTGAAGTACAGAGGATAAAGGTGAGGAAGGAAATGTCCCGGGTTCGATGATTGGGTCATATTAATATATTACATCCCTACTAAAGTAACTCTGTCTGTCTGTCTGTTACGCTTTCACGCCTAAACCACTGAACTGATTTTAATGAAATTTGATACAGAATTAGAGTTGACCTTGAGAAAAAACATAAGATAGTTTTTATCCCAGACTTTTGAAAGGTTCTCTTGGAAACGCGATATAAAGCTGTGGGCGGAAAGCTAGTACTCTTATAATGAAACTATCAGTGATCAGTATACGTATGTAAGAAAAAGATTTGTTTGGAACATTTATCTGTGTACGGGTCCATTAATATCAGAATTGTCTGATTATATTTGAGTTCGGATCTCACTAGTATATTGTGATGGAATTCAAAAAAGTGTTTTTGTTTTCAATCATTTCATAGAAAATTCTTAAAACTAAAATAAAACTCATTTTGATATTATAATATGTGTATTATTTAGATACTGAATCAATGCGTAAATCTCACATTTTAAAAAATAGTATTTAAAAATGTTAATAGCTCTATACAGATAATAATAGCAGAAAATTCAAGAGCACTTCTAAATGAGCAGTCGTCAGAAATTTTACATTCCATAACAACGCATATTTGAAAAATATTTTTTTCAATAATACCTTTATCGAGTCTCTCTGTAGTTGTAAAATATTTGATTTCAAATTGCAGTCATAATAAGTTCTCTTTAAACTTATCATAATAATAAATGGAAAGTGACTTCATTAACCAAGATGACGGTAGATTTAATATTGTACTATATGAATCATAATATCTTTTATCGCACTCTCACTATACATCATGACCCATTATCAATATCTATTTACATTCACACATAAGTACATATGTTTAATATTTCATATAAAAGAAAATATAATCTTATTTCTAGATTTCTATACTTTTTTGACTATGACAACACAAATGAAAGAGATGTTAAAGACTTATGATGTTATTTATATAAATCAAAAAGATCGTATATATTATTTTTGGCCTTTTTTAGCTGAACTGTATGTATATATTTGAACTTTGTATTAAAAAGAAATATTTCATATATATGTTTAACTTCCAAAGCCTACAAGTCAGATATATGTAGGTAATATATTATATTTATATAGTATATTATATAAATATGTTTGTTTATAGATCGACGACGATTCATCCTGCAACACGAATCCATTCGCGAGTGAAACCAACCAGTTCTGTCTAGAGAACATTGACGTATCAAACTTCCTGAACCTACACTCACTCGGCAACCACGAAGACTTCTGTTTGGCTTATGTCTTTACATACAGAGACTTTAACGGCGGGACATTAGGTAGATATACAAACTTATATATATAAAACATTATCACCTACTTATCTCATCGCTCTCTGCTAGAAAATTTCCTTTCAGACTTCCAGCACATACTAAAAGAACATAATCAATTCAATACCCATGTCAAGTCACGGGAAATAGTGTAGCTATTGTTGAAACTTGAATTGTTGATTTCATTATCAATGACAGCTTTTGTATTGACATCCGAGGTGAAACTCTGACCGTGACTGAGTATCGTGTGATTTATGATACATTCATTTTAATATTGTTACTGATTACAATATGTAAAATGTTGACAGTTGAGCAAAATTGAATCCATGATACAGACTTTTCTAAATTTGTTATATTAAATCAGTTACCAAAATCACACCAAACTGATAATATATTGCAAATAGGTATACATAAATTAGCAGTATAATTATAATTTATACAATGAGAATGTATACTATTCTCAGGCTTCGCTTGTGTCTCAATTCACTGGTCTATCTTTGATTATTTAGTATATGATCGTTATATGTATTAAAATATTTATTCAGGTCTGGCGTGGGTGGCGAGCGCTAGTGGCGCCTCTGGCGGTATTTGCGAGAAGTATAAAACATACACCGAAACCACCGGCGGGATGTACCAGAGCACTAAGAGGTCACTCAACACTGGCATCATTACATTCGTGAACTACAACAGTAGGGTACCACCTAAAGTCAGCCAGCTTACTTTGGCCCATGAGATAGGACATAACTTTGGATCACCGGTGAGATACAAGTTCATTCAATTTTTCTATTATACATATCGTTTAGACATCAGTTTGTGTTATAATCTTGCGTTTGACTATTGTGTGTCTATGTGATGAGGTATAGTTTACATTCAGTGTTATAACTAGACTTTTATGCACCCGGTGCGAGCTTTCAAAATTGCGCCCCTGAAAAATGCTCTAACCAGGCTCTAAAAATAAAATGGACAAATGTGCATACAAATAAATTTAACTATTTGTTCTTTACCAAAATATATAAGTATATAGCTACCATGCATGAGATAAAACTAGATACTAGTCTGGTCATTTCTGCGCCCCTCCAGGGTCTGCGCTCTGTGCCTGTTCACTGCTGGCACCGCCCTAGTTACGGCACTGTTTACATTAATAAGTTAATGAATCAATTAAATCTTCGTTCCTAGAGCAACAAAGCCCCCACCAAAGCAACATTTCTCTATACACACTGAATGTATATTATTAATGATAATCCACATTCCAGCATGATTACCCATCCGAGTGTCGTCCTGGCGGCCAGCAAGGTAACTACATAATGTTCGCGTCAGCTACCTCCGGCGACCGACCAAACAATAGTCGTTTCTCAGCGTGCTCTGTGGGGAACATTAGCGCTGTATTAGACGCGGTCAAAGACGGACGGAAAAGGGATTGTCTCAAGGAAAGCGATGGAGCCTTCTGTGGGAACAAGATTGTTGAAGTTGGGGAGGAGTGTGATTGTGGTGAGAATTAATATGGAAACTAAGCTATAGGCTCATAAAATATTTGTAAAATTGTATGTCACTGATTATATATAATTTGGGTTTTATGACTTGTTTTCGGATTGACTACAAGTTTTTTGTTATTTTAACATCATATTACCGAACTTTCGGTTACTACGCAGCAACCATGATTACGGGCAGACAAGTAACGAACACGAAGTAATCAAAAAATATTGGTTTCATTTAAGTCTTATACTAAATATTTATTCTACTGTTTAAACTACGTTGATATTTATAATGTTACATTAATGTCATCTCAAAAAAACATAGCTTTACCATTTTTTCATCTAGAATTATTAAAAAAGCTATTCTGGAACTAGAATATTAAACAAATATTTTTATGCATAAAACATTAGTACATATTTAATATTTTTTTCTCATTGCCAGGTTACAATGAAAACGAGTGTAAAGATCGTTGTTGTTACCCGCGTCTCGTCAGCCCGTATGACTTCGAACGTAACAACAGCGCCGTGGGGTGTCAGAGGCGAGCCAACACACAGTGCAGGTTAATATAACACATGCAAATAATTACCACTTATATAATACTATTAAAACTATAGTCCATCATAAATATTTCACTCGATAAATATCAATGTTAGAACAAATAATATATAAGTGTAGATGTTTTGTCTTGCTACATACTTAGTTCTTTCATTCGTCACTTTAATATGTAATATGATGAAAGTTAATGTATAATGTGATCTATCTATCTATCTATCTATCTATCTATCTATCTATCTATCTGACTGTCTATCTATCTATCTATCTGACTATCTATCTATGTATCTATGTATCTATCTATCTATCTATCTATCTATCTATCTATCTAGCTTCTCCATGAGAGACAGATTCCTTGCTCAGCACTAGGCTTCCGATAGGCTAAAAAAAACTATCTATCAGTGTGTATGTATGTAATATGAGTACTAACCCCCCTCCCCCCTCCAGTCCCTCTCAAGGTCCCTGCTGCAGCCCCACGTGTCAGTTCACGCCGGCGTCCCGTAACGTGACGTGTCGCGCGGCCAGCGAGTGCAGCCTGGCTTCATACTGCTCGGGGACATCCGCAGAGTGTCCTGCGCCACAGGCTATGGCTAACGGCACCGTCTGTAATAATGGTAATATTATATGTATACACACACACACATACAATGATATACGGTGAAGGTAAACATCGTGAGGAAACCTGGACTTATAGTTTCACAATTATAAGTTTGAAAACACCAACCCGTCTTGAGCAAGCATGGTGATTAATGCTCAAACCTTCTCCATGTGAGAAAGAGGTCTTTGCTCAGCAGTGGGCGTTGATAGGCTGATGACGACACACACATACATACAGAAACACACAGAAACACACACACACACGTACGCACAAACACACATACAAATACCCATACACCTGTGAATATTCTGTTCTCACATGCGTCAACAATTTTCTTTAGACCTACTTTCTTTTTGTTATCCACTTTGTTAAATATATGATATAAAACACTTTCTAATGTAATCTTTGTGGCCATAGCCTTCATGAAATTTAAAAAACTCTACAAATATAATCTGTATATGCTGTTGATTACAAATAAATAAATAAATATATTACTAACTAGTGAATTGACTAAGTTATTACATGACATCAGTTTTCAGACATATCCGGAACAAACAGAAATTACTCATAACATGTTATTTTGACATCAGTACCGTGGATAAATTTATTGCATCCAGTAAAAAATATTCTATTTGTATAGTTAATGTTTACTTGTGACCGACAATGGACTGTCTTGTGACTTAGTTTTTGCTTTTAGATTCTATATCAAGTAGTTTCTAATGTTACATAAATATATTGTATTTTACAATTTTTTACTCTATTTTTAAGAATAGACGACATTTTAAGTCTCATACGTTGTTCCATTTCATTATATGTATATACTTGATATGTTTATTCGCAGGCACCCAGCTATGTATATACGGTGAATGCCGAGGTTCTATATGTCTGGCGTGGAACATGAAGGAGTGTTTCCTCTCCTCATCACCGACAAAAGTAGGGGAAGGCGTGACAGCTGTGGTAGACCGTCGGCTGCTCTGCCAGCTCGCGTGTCAGACTGGCCCCGAACCAGACAGCTGTAGGAGTACGGCTGAGTTTGCGCATACAGTCGGCCTACCGCCCGGAGGAATCAGTCTAAGACCCGGTTCGCCGTGTGATAACTTCCAGGTTGGTTGATAATAGAATTATTTTTTATATGATAATGATGATAAACGAGCGTACCACTTGATGGAAGTGAAACCGTCGCTTATGGACATCTGCCACATATGTAGTTTTGCGGATGCGTTGCCATCATCGTGACATGTCAGGATTCATCGTGACATTTAAAATATAAGGTTTTAAATAGTATTGCAGTTTTAAATACACTACACTTAGTTTCGTTTAATATTAATATTTAATATAAATATTCCAGGGTTACTGCGACGTTTTCCTTAAGTGTCGTGCCGTCGACGCCGAGGGTCCTCTGGTTAAATTGAAGAACCTTCTACTGAACCGCGCTACGCTTCAGTCTCTACAAGCCTGGGTCACAGAACAGTGGTGGGCCGTGTTACTAGGAGGCGTGGCGCTAGTCGTGTGTATGGGAGCCTTCGTTAAATGCTGCGCCGTACACACGCCATCATCCAACCCTAAAAGACCTCCCGCCAGGTACAAGAAACACTAATGAACTACAATACATATGTATATATATATATGTTCCATTCGAAGATTGTATTCGAATCTTTTTATTAATTTATTGATTAATAGGATGTATGTTATCTGATATAATATGTGTTGTATTACAAAAGCAATCATATGTATTAAAGAAAATACGCTTGTATAACATAGAAAATATAAAACCGACTTAAAACATTTCCTACATGGCAGTCATTATAATAATATTGTTACTTTAACAGACGTTTATCTGAGACCCTGCGTCGTCCTATGAACACTCTACGGCGCATGCGCGGTCAGCCGGGCGTGGCGGCGGGACCGAGGAGGGGGGGCGCGCGGGCCGCACGGACCCCGCAGAGGAGGACGAGACCTCACAAGGGATACGCGCCACCACTGGCGTACTCGGCTAGGGACATGGGTGATATATTGTTATGATACTGATTTATTTGTGAGGGTACTAGGATGGAACAGCTCTTTTTCACTATCGAATTATATGTAATTGAAATTTGTGACGTTATAGTCCCAGCCATGAAGTAGATATCGTAAGCGATTATTCTTCATTTATTAATAATGTTGTTGTGATAAGAGTACCTATAAAGCGCGTCTAAAATTGTGTCCCAAGATTATATTTATTACATGACGATTACATAATATATGTTTCTGTTATAAGTGCTCGTTTTCATGTTAATATTATGTTTCCAGCGTCAGCGCCGGCGGGTCCTAGCGGTCGTCGCGGCGAGCCGTACGCCAACGCCTACCCTCAGTCCTACGAGATGCGACCTCAGAAGGTCTGACAGTACGAGCAGCGCGCCCAGCTCGAGCTGGTGGCGCTACCGGGCGTGCCGCTGCTGCTGGGCTACGTGTGCCGCACGCCCACACCTACGCGCACCACCGTCGCCTCGCAGACCAACATCACGCTACACTCGCCCGACACGCTCGCCGTCACACACGCTAATGACACCGCCGGCTAGTTCGACCCATCCCCCCTACCCCACACACAAGCCGCCTACAATATAAAAACCATTCCATTTTTGAATTTGTCAAGCGTACGTATATTCTTTTTAATTTGTTACCGGCCAACTTACGCTAATGACACCGCCGGCTAGTTCGACCTATCCCCCCATCCCCCCGCACACACACACACACACACAAGCCGCCTACGATGTGTATAGAAACCATTCCATTTTTGAATTTGTCAAGCATCCGTTTTTTTTTAATTTGTTACCGGCCAGCTCATCCCCACTCCAGAATTTTTTTATTCTAATCAGACTGTCATTTCTAAAGACTAAAGTCTCCCTCATCGTCCCTCTATAGTTTGTAGCATTCCATATTTTATCATCTTACATACAAGTGTGGGTTTGGAACTATAATGATGTGAACGTTACTATGGTGGTCGGTGTAAAGTATGTAACATCGACCGCTGCGTTTCCTTTGTAAATGTAAATACCGAGTCGTGTTATGTTGTATCGAGGCGTCCGAGTGAGAGTTGCTCAACAGCGAGCTCAATCCGACCGCGAGGTGTTCTATCATATTAGCTATTATTTTTATACGTAATAATAAAACGGAGTCGTTTTTTCCGAATACGCTCGATGACGCTCCGACGGGACATTTATGTATATTTTTGTATATAAATGATGATTATATAAAGGCTACAATGTAAAAATATCATACAAATAAATATTATACTCGTACCGATATTAGACTTAATGTAAGCCGAACGTAATTTTTATATAATTTTATTTCGAATGTATTATAAAGTAAGCGGAATGTTGAGGTGCCATTATAACAATTTGTAATTCAATTTTTGTTACACCTTCTTAGCGAATTGTAGTCCTTTATGAATTTTGTGATTATCGAAGATTTATATCTCATTAGATCTGTTGGCTCAAATTGTAATTTAGAGGTTACGTAAATAAATTTTAACAGAATTAGTTTTCTTGTGTTCATCGTGAATGTGTATGTAAACACAAGTACTTGTAAGTTTCCTAAACGATCTGCTTATATAAATCAGTCTTCCTCTAACATCTTTGTATTTGTTTATTTGTAGTTATGAGAATTTTAATAACTATTGCCAAATGATCAAATGTTACTAGACTGATGTTTTGTCTCAACCTTGTGATGAAAGTTGCATTTTTATTATCATCGGCTCAAACGTGTTATTGTTGTATGGTTTTGTTTGATTATTATTCTATGTGATTGTACGTAGCGGTGTCGCCATCTCGTGGAGTTCACTTCAAACGTTCTTTTCTCGTATTAATGTAACATTCGTCGTGCAAGCCAAAGAGCATGATGTACGTTTAAGTTTTCTATACAATAATAGTTAAGAGTCAATCTTTATAAGTATTCCATATAAAGGCCATTTTATTAGACGATGTTAACGAGTACATGTTCATGTTATATTTAAATATAAATACTGTATATTTGTATGTATGTATAACCTTGGGTGATGTTTCATACGTAGCGTGACTCGACCAATCACGATGGCCGCATGACCGTCACGTAGTTATGGCATTATGTCTTGTAAGTGTAAGCTAGTTTACCAACAATAGAATAAATAATGTGAATATTTTTAATTAACAAGATGAATGTTACAACATGTGATTTCAAAATAACAAAAAAAATACAATAAATTTTACATAAAATTCTTCTCTTTTATTACTCAGGCATGGATGATGGAATGTAATGTGAGTCGGGTTTAGAAAAGTTTTTTTTATAAAATATTAGATAGACAATTGCTTGAAGAGATGTGGTAAAAAACCTTTAATGACGAAAAAACCATCAGATAAAAATAATTATATCATTATTCTAAATAATTAATCTTATATATTATCACTATAGTCTATAACTATGGGTTTCAACAGTTAAATAGCACGAGTAATATTTTCAACAACTGTTTACGTAGTTTAATTAACAGTTAACACTAACCATTTTTTGACCATAAATTATATTGATTTATTTTCATTTCATTAATAGCTAAAAAGTCTATGTTTACGCATTTTATGTCCTTAACCTTAGTGAGAATATTCATATAAAGATAAAAAAATATATATTAGAACCGATCTAATTCATAAGATTGCTAAGGTGACTTTATTTTACGTCTAACTCCAAGAATAATAATACAGCAACCAATATCCAAATTTTCCTTTTATAATATCAAATATGTTTAATTTCTCAAAAAAAAAATTACGATATCAAATAATTTCATTCTTTAATTTTTAAATCCATTTAATTTTACTTTTAAGCGTCTTTTATCAAAGAAACAGCAGTCAGCCATTTAAGTCTCTTAAAATTTCAGTATAATTTTTACCTTTTACTTTTTTTCATTAGTATAGAATCACAAATTAATCGGAATGAACATGATAACTTAGAATTTTTTTTTTAGTTAAAATACTTAAAAAACTGAAATTTCTGCAAGTTTTACTTAAATTTCACAACCTTGAATGAACCTAATTTACTTTAAATGTTTGCACCTAATCTCTTATGAGCTATTGGTTGTTTGGTAAAATAACAATAGCGCAATAATGAATTCAATTAAATAGCTCGTAACTAAGTAGAAAAAACATGTAGATAATTGTGGCTAATTCAGTTAATTCCTTAATAGTCAATTTGCAAATATATTAATAAAGGCAAAATTTTTAAAAGGGTTAATTTAAAGAATGTATCTCAATTTAAGTTAATTACAGTACAATGACTATTAGGTAACAAAAATTACATACGGTACCTATACATTTTTATAATTAACACATTATTTATCTCAAAACATAAAATTTTATTGCTCTCTCTGTATTCATTAAAAAGCAATCAGAGCTCACAGAGAACTGTTCAATAATGAAAACTATCATCAATTGTGTTAAATAAAGAGAAAAATATTAAGGGATTTTAAAGTCTTTCTCATTGCTTTTGGACATAAAAAAAACTATAAGATGAATGATATCCTACACCTTAAAGTTATTTTAATAGAAAATGAACATAAAAAAAATTAACATTTTATAAAAATTAATAATAAATGAAACAACTTATTTCAGTGTCATAATGTATTTTTAATATACAGATAATACAAAGCTGTGGATACGTCTCTATTAAGAATACAGTTATATTGCTAATGCAAAACTAATCGAATATAAAATTATAAAAGATATTGTCGTTACAAGACTGCCTCATGGCACAGCGGTAGCGTTAGCTTGGCAAGTTGTTTGATAAGTTAATTAGACATTAGAATACTTGTCATTCATGCTTGCTTAAATATTCACAGAATACAAAATTTGATGTTAACAAAATAATAATAATAAAAAGTATTCAAAAATCAAAAACTTTATACTTCATAATTATAAGCATCAATGGAATACGGAACAAAATTATGTTCGATTTACAGTAAAAACAAAATATTATTTAAACGTAAACATTTCATAAGCTAAAGTAATAATATATTAAGAAAGAAACATTAAATACTTATTATTTTAGAACTTAATATACCCTAAGACAAATTATATAGAAATAAAATGGAAGTCATAAAGAGGATATTATAATAAACAAAATTATTTTTACAGAAAAAATATACTTATCTAATAATCAGAATTTAAACAATATCTCATCCAAAAACTAAACTTACACAGTAGACAAGCATACTCAGCATGAAAACATTACGAATAGATAAATACTTGTTATGAAAGGCTTTTAAAAACTTAAAGTTATTGTAATATACAATATATATTATAAAGCCAGTTACAATATATATTATACATATCACTAATAAAAGCCACATACGTCCTACGATATAAAATATGTGTAGCCTAAGTTGTATAAAAGTATTATTAAAGTTAGCAGCTACTTACAATACCGTACCTACTTAAGTTCAGACTTCACCAAATGGATTTTGGAGAAAATTATTGCAATATTTTTAATAATTGTAAGAAAAAAAAACATGAAATTGTTAGTGTTTATGTAAATAGTTTTTTTTATTCGCTAGTGTTTCAAAAAAATCTTAACCTTTAGTAAGTTTCACTGTTTATATTTGGATACCTTTGAGAGCAACAAATTTTAGGGCAAAGTAGGTTTTACGGTTAATATTTTGTATCTCAGATGGAAATGTGGCGCGTAGAAAGAAACTTAATGTATGAAATAAATGTTTTTGATAATGTTTAATGTAATTGTAATTGTTAATGATAAGTGTATCTGCTTATGAATGCAATAGCATTTGTTCCTGTTTATATACTTCGTGATAAGCGTTCCTTATCAGCACGTATGGGAAGCAGGATTCCAGTAAATCCATTGTAAGGAATGGTGACTCTTGAACAATAAGATCGAGAAGTAAATAAACCGATTCACGATTTCTTATAGCTTCTTTATCCGTCTCTTGTCCGAGCCGTAACAATGACGACGAGGCTAGTGCTAAGAACTCTTTCATTCTATCCTCAATATCACCTTCACCACAGATAGTGAACAGGGCTCCAAATATATGATTGATTGCTGGTGCCATACAATGAATATTGTTAGCGTGCCCTTCTAAAGATGGTCTGTAAAACGAACCTTCGTTACGGGCGAGCCTCGGCAGAGAGACAGCTACAAACACCATCAGCAGACAAACTATGAGATGCTCCTCTTCTTCGAGTTCGGCTTTGTGTTGTCGCAACGCGGAAGCTAAGGTAGGATCCACTTTACACGACAATCCAGCTGCTGAACACATCTCAGATATAACACGAGAAGGTTCGCCGGAGGGCAATTGTTGTTGGAAGTCTTTGATGGAGCTTATCAAAAACGGAATACGACGCTCCAACACATCAAGCAATGACTCTTGTGCGATTTGACGAAAACTCAAAATTACACCGATTATACTCATTCTTTGTAGCACATTGTCAACATGTTGCAACCTTTTGAACTGTTCTCTCATTATATCAGGTTTGTCGAAATTAGTTCGGAGCATTTGAAGGACTTCTTTATTCTGTACTACGTGTTTTTTAAGTTCCTGAACCTGACTAGCGATGTGCCACATTAGAGTCTCGCTGAGATGTTTCATCCCATAAGGTCCTATAAGCTCCGCTAGTGCTCTTAGTTCATTGATATCCGAATATTCCTCTGCATTGAAAGGAATTGCACCTTCAGCAGATAAACTCACGAATGCTTTTTGACTCATTGAGAAGCAAATATTTCCCGCGCTAACCCTCCTAAGTAGTATCTCGGAATACCACTGAGTATAAAGGGCTGCAATAGTTTTTTCACCGTGACTATCACAACTTTGTGTCTGTTGAAGGAGACAATTGTTGAACACTCTTGTGATGTCGATGTGCACATAATTTTCAACGGTTTGAAGTACATTCATATACGCTCTTACACTGACCAGCAGTTCCGAAGGTTTGGCTATTTCACTTGTGTCCTGATTAAACATGACCATTCCGACGAGTGCTTTAGAAAACCTGTTTTCTAAATGCTGATGCAGGTATTCACGAGGAGCGAATGTGTATTCCCAAACATTAACCGTTGAGCAATAGTTTATAGCAAAGCACAACTCAGTCAACGCCATATGAAGTTTATCCATTGTAGTCAATTCTTCTCGAGTTTTTCTATAGCTCTCCGCTCCTGGTTTTATAATCTCTATGGGATTCTTTTTGCCCTTGTCCTTCTTCTTTCTGTTTGCTAAATGCGCTATAGTTTGAGCACAGTGTTTCGGCAACAACTTGTCGCTCATTGTGCATTGGTGATCACAAATAGTAGTAATTATATTTTTCGCTTCCTTTGCCATTTCATCCAGGAATATGTTCACAACCGACAGACTTCTTTCTCTTATGTGATGTCTTTCTTCCGGACACAATTCGTGAGTGCAGTTCTGGAAATGACTGCAAATAAGTGGGAATGCAATAATGTAACGGTTTTGGGCCGGAAATTCCAGGCACATGTGGAACTGGCTTTCAAATATTTTGTTGTAGAAACAAAATAATGACAGATCAGAAGTTTCCACCATTATCTCGTCGAGATTATCAACCATTTTCGTATGAAAAACCATTTTATCAATAAATTGTGCGAGTTCTCTTTGATCGACAATATTCAATTGGCATTTTGCAACAGACGTGTAAGCCTGCAATCTAAACCAATCTAGACGAAAAGCACGGAAATCAAATAGATCATTACTCTCAACTTGCTTAACACTTAAATTAGCAGCTGTACTACAGAGAGAAGACAATATAACACTTTCATCCTCAGGACACACTTGTAAATTCTGTATCATGAGATTCAAGGCTACTGCATCAAAACCTGATAGATATTGGACGTAATATCTTTGCATAACTTGGCTATATTTTCTTACAAGTGCTCTGAGTTCCTCCATGTGAAACAGAAGTTCAGGCAACTGACGGTCTACCAAGTCTTCAGTAGATTTACCTTTGACTTTTTGTGGAGGATTGTCGTTATGTCGAAGTAGCCAAAACACTTCATCCCTTGAATAGCAAAGACCAATAAATATTAGCAGTGCTTTTGGTCCCAACAAACCAGGTTGATCAGTTAAAATGAGACCCAATTCTTTTAAAGCGGTTCGTAAGAACTTCCTTCTCTCTCTGTGTTTATAGCCTGCCTTTTGAACAGATTGATGATAACAATCCTTCACTTCAGATATTCTTTTACCATATCCTTTAATGCCATCAAAAAAGCTTTGAATATATGTATGAATGTAAATGACTTCATCTCGGAATAGTGCTACAACCCATCCAGATTCTAAGGCACTAACCCACATCTTGTTTGCATGGTCTTGTGACAACATTTGGTGACACAATGCAAAACCAAATATCACCCATCTCTCCAACGATTCCAATGAGACATATTCACAGGACATAGTTGCAGTTTCAGATGGTTTAAGTAGTTGTGATGGGTTGCTCACTAAACTAAGTTTCTGTTCAGACCTCCAGTGATCGGCCGTTTTATTCCTTGCTGGATAAACATGCCATAATGAATTTAATGCACTTGATAAAACTTTTTGGTGTGGTGCAAATTCTTCTGACAGCTTCTTGAATGGAGCATCGTAATCAACTATCATTTGTCCCAAACGTGGAAAACTAGCATCTATCTGATTGTGTACCATTTCATGAGCAGCATTGAACAATCCAAGCACAGCTTTTCGGTCTTCAACTCGAGACAGTAATATCATAAGTGCAACATAAGTTGTCACAAGATCCAAATAATTTTTAGTCAGTTCAAAATTAAGTGTCAAATCTAGAGTCAACTGACATCCATCAATAATATTAAGCAACTCACAGACATTGTCCTTGAAGTCTAAAAGATCTACAAATGTATAATAGTACAGGGAGAGTGACTTAATTATCTCATTTCTTATATTAGTTATGGCTTGTAATCCCTTGACATCAATATTGGGAAATCTTCTCACAATGTGTTTGATAGAAGACTCCAATGTTTTGTCTGACAAGAATGCTGGTTTCGATTTAGCGTCACCACAGGCCTTTTTAATGTTGTAAATACGCGTCAACATTCCAATTCCCCGATCATTGAGAATTATCAGTTTTTCAGACAGCTTTTGCTGACTGATAGGGACTGACCTCGACAAAGTAGACATGCTGCAACAAACATAATGAAATATAATATGTTATAAAGTGAAAATAAAGTATTGCTATAACACCGGAAATTAATCATTGCTACTTGAACCGAATCCGATAGGGTAAACATTTGCCCCAGTAACGAAGTGTGCGCACTGATTAGGTCAACGACATATGTTATAAATGACGAAAACTTTAATTAATATGTAACTACGACAAAATATTTATACAATTCGATTAAGATAAGAGATTATTAGAAGATATTTACCTTTTAAATTTTATTAATCCTTATATAAAAATTCACACTTGTTGTAAGCATATAAATCGGTTCATATTGTTTTTGATATTTGCACTACCACTCTATTTCCATAAGTATATATTTCGTCAACTCAATTTCAAAATACAATAGAAAAGGGAGTGTCTTTCCTATTTAGAAACGCTACACGGTACCATTAGTTTATTTAACGATGACAGTCAATTCTAACAACATTATCTGCATAATTTATCCACTAAATGTTACCACTAATATTATTGCATACTATTATTTCGTAACGTAATGTCATAGATAAAAATAATAGAATTAAAGATTTTTATATCTCAATCATATAAATTATTAAATTAACTATTTGCCAAAAATTTGTAGTACCCAAATACCGAAGAACATAAGTTATAGTTTATATAGCCCAGACCATCTCAGACGCTGTGACTTGATGAATCGGACGATTGTTTCTCCGTTCGGAAGTGCCTCCAGCTCGTGATTCATGCTTACCTATACGGTAGTCACCGTCTGCGTGTTTCACCGGCCCAAACACTTTGCGCAGAACTCAGTGACCATGCTTCATACCCATAGGTGGTGACGGGGCGTATTATGGTCTTATAGATAGACAGCTTGGATTTTGCACTAAGATATTTTGATCGGAAAAGTTTGCTGAGAGAGTAAAAGCATCTATTGCCAGCCATGATTCTGGCATTCACCTCAACTCCAACCTTATTACGGTTGGACAGTATCGGCCCCAGGTACTTAAAGCTGCTGACTCCTTCAATTGTATCATCTCCAATGGTGACATCCTGTAGTGGACGAGGGTTGCGCGTGCTATTAAGGTACTTCGTTTTGCTTGCGTTAACCATCAATACATACTTTGCCGCTTCCATCTGGAGAGTTGTGGTGTGTCTGATCATACTGCTTTGAGACCCGTTTATGATAACGATATCATCCGTATAGGCGGCTAGCTGACTGATGTTATAGTCGAAAAGCCCTTTTACTCCTACGTTTCGGATGGCTGCCTCCAGCGTAAGGTTGAAGACAACAGTAGATAGGGCATCCCCTTGCCTTACTCCTGGGCGTATTTCGAATGGGTCCGATATCTCATTTTGTATAGCTATACTACCGATTATGAGTTACACATAGTAGCCTCAACCAGGCGCACCAGTTTACTTGGGATTCCCAGCAACCTCATGGCATTAAATATATTATATCTGTTTACGCTATCGAAGGCCTGCTTGAAATCTATGAACATATGATGTAGATCTATATCATATTCATAAGCCTTTTCAAGAATCTGGCGGATGAGATGGATTTGATCAGTCGTAGACCGATTCGGTCTAAAACCACCCTGACACTCCCCCAGTATACTTATATATATTATATACTTTTATATACCATCTCGCATTTTAATCTTAATTTTATAATTTATAGTACCTTTTCTGTTAAATAAAGAATTATTTCATCTTTAATATGGCAACTTTAAATTAATTTTTGTGTTTATCTATACATAGGCGTGCTAAGTCTGTCTTCATTCAAGTCTTTAATGTCAAAAGACATTTCTGTTTGCTTGTGACACTAGTTTGTGTTAAGTGTTAAAGTTATTGTCTGCCGATAATCAAATATATATATTTATCCTAATGGCTCGAAGATAGTATTTCAACGTTTTAAAGAATATTTTTTTTAATCGATACACATTTCATTTGTAATAGTTTTAATTATCCACTTTCATCATGCCGCGTATTATGATAAAAGGTGGCGTTTGGCGAAACACCGAGGTTTGTAATTTGTTAAAGTTAACGTAAAGTTATTTTAATACATACTTTCCCCTTTTGTTGAAAACTACAATGTTAATTATCGTTTACAGGATGAAATTCTCAAAGCGGCGGTTATGAAATATGGGAAAAATCAATGGTCACGAATTGCATCGTTGCTCCATCGTAAATCTGCTAAACAGTGTAAAGCTCGTTGGTATGAATGGCTGGATCCCAGCATCAAGAAGACTGAGTGGTCTCGGGAGGAGGATGAGAAGCTCTTGCACCTTGCTAAGTTGATGCCGACCCAGTGGAGAACCATTGCTCCCATTATTGGTCGTACAGCAGCACAGTGTCTTGAACGATATGAATATCTACTGTAAGAAATTATAAGTATTTGATATTTACAAAGGTAGTACTTCATATATTTCAAGTTTAAGGAATTATATATTAAGCAGGTTCATATATTTCCAAAAGTCAATATTTTAAGCAAGTTTATATATTTCCAAAAGTCAATGACACTTTCATGTTGGTTTTTAATTATGTGTTCAGATATTTTTCACTCTGAAGTTAAAAAAAAAAACAAGACAATTCATTAAAAATTAAAAATTGGAATATTTACATGAAATTTCTTTAATTTAGGTATGTCATATTGATATAAACATGTTATTTTATATCATTATTGCATTATTTTTACTATAGAATGTGGGAGTTATACAATATTATAGACAAATATGATCTATGAGAGTAATCTCTACTGCTATTAGCTTTTTGTCTTGAACACTTCAACTATCTTTATATAGTTTAAATATATTAAGACTGGGAATTGTATTAAAGAAGATTGTAAAATTCTTGTAGAAGTTTTTGAAGAAATGACTGTAACATTAATAAAAAAATCTAGACCTATTTTCTGGAAATAACTTTCCATTTAAAATTATATATACATACTAAAAGTCAAAACTTGTAAGATTCTTACTAAACAGATTCTCATTGAATGTTTTTAGTGATCAAGCTCAAAAGAAGGAAGAAGGCGAGGATGTCGGTGATGACCCGAGGAAGCTCAAACCGGGTGAAATTGACCCAAACCCTGAAACAAAACCTGCTAGACCCGACCCCAAGGATATGGATGAAGATGGTGAGATATTGTTTTGTTTGTAATAATTTAACATTACTTTGCCGGCCTTAGAGGGACTGACACCCTGGGTAAGAATATTTTGGCGCCCACTTGAAGAAATCAAAATCGAGTATTAATTTTTTTCTGAACCAATGTGAATACTTAACGTGTATTAAGAATTCTATATTCCACCTACCATCTTCCATCTTTCCTTAAGTGTGACCCAGAGCTAACAACGTGGCTAAAGTTATGTAGCTCCTATATTTTTTTCTTCATTTATAAGTATTCTACCTCCTCTAATCGCCCCCCCAAATTTGCCGCCCTGGGCCGTCGCCCCATCGCGCCCCCCCCTAACGCCGACACTGACTATGATATACTTAAATTATCATGGATTCTAATGTTTTAATTTTTATATTATGATATCTACATTCTACATGCTTTTAAAATATGCTATTGTTTAATTTCTGGATCTAGATATTGTTAGAAAAGAAATGAATTAACCAGACTGTTTCAATACAAATATTTTAAACAAAATATTGCAATTTACTAATATTTTTTGTATTGTTATTTAGAATAATATGAGTGGTGTATTTGAAAAGCTAGATTTAATTCATGTATTAGCGTAAGTATAATTATAATAAGTAAACTAGCTTTTGCCGCGACTTCGTGCGCGTGGAATAGAGACTTCCGGCAGATTTTTGGTTCTTCCCACATAGTTCCCGTTCTTGCGGGGTTTTCGGAATGGTCGAGTTCCCGTAGAATTTTCAGGATAAAACCTATGTTTTTTTTATTCACAATGAAGTACTCTTAACCAACAACATATTTATTTGTTTATTTGAATAAAGATTAATATTATTATGTTGATACAACTTAAACAAATTATTTCGACCAAATTAGGTACCATAAAAACGGTTTTTGTGAGTCAATCTTAAAAGATAGACATATACTGTCGTGGACTGTTTTTTAGATCATTAAAAGAGCTATTATTTTTTAATACATATTTTTTGTGTATCTTGAACCGTTTTCACGGCGCACGCAACGGAAAGCTTTAAAGATAAAATAATTTCTCCCGTTTTTTACACATTTACCACTATATCTTTGCTCCTACCTATTGGTCGTAGCGTGATGTTATATAGCCCAAAGCCTTCCTCAATAACTGGACTATCCAACACAAAAAGAATTATTCAATTCGAACCAGTAGTTTCGGAGATTAGCGCTTTCAAACAAACAAACAAACTCTTCAGCTTTATAATATTAGTATAGATTTTGCTATCATTGCATGACTTTGTGAGATACATGCTACATTCTTAACTTCCTAAACAATTTAAAAAAATTAATTACTGCAATAAGTAGTATTTTAAGTTACTTCTAATTATATTAGGTGTTTGGGAGGGAAGTTCCATTAGAATTAGTCTAGAATATACAAGATTAACTGGAATAAAAAGACAAACATAAATTGTAAAAAAATATAATATGTTGTATGTGTGCCATATATGTATATACATATAGTAATTATATGGTTATTTTATATTTACTAAAGCTTTTTGCGATGTTACTTCTATATTTCTATATTAATTTATCCATATTTATCTTAACTTGTATTGTAATATGTTTCGTCAGAACTGGAAATGCTGTCAGAAGCTAGGGCTCGTCTTGCTAACACTCAGGGCAAAAAGGCAAAGAGGAAGGCTCGGGAGAAACAGTTAGAAGAGGCTCGGCGACTTGCGGCCTTACAAAAGAGGAGAGAATTAAGTGCTGCTGGCATATCTGTGCCTATAAGGTATCTAACAAATTAATATATATTTTTAATATACCTACATCTCTATCAAGAAGAAAAAATATCTTTAGAAACATGATGAATAACTAGACTCAATATTGAGTCTAAAGGAATTGATTACAAATAAACAAACATGCAAGTGAAGCTTATGAAAATTTTACTCGTAATTATTTAATATTAATCATGAACAAAAATAATTTCAGGCGTAAAAAGAAACGTGGTGTGAATTACAATTCCGAGATTCCATTTGAAAAGAAGCCAGCTGCTGGTTTCTATGATACATCCACAGAAGTAGTGGATCCTATGGCACCGGACTTCTCACGACTGAGACAGCAACATCTTGACGGAGAGCTACTGTCTGAGAAAGAAGAGGTATTAAAATTTTAGAGTACCCTCACTTCAAGCAACCTTATATTGAGTTGTGGGATTTTACAAATATACATAAATATATAGCACCTGGAAGATATATACTCAAAACAATAACTCATTAGTTAAGGAGCATTAATGTAGGATATTTGTTAGAGCTTTGGTCCAAAATACACACACATTATCAAGGGGTATGGTAATGGTTATTGTGCGGTCAAGCTTGTGCTCATAATATTAGTATTGATTTAAGGTCTTTGTTTTAGTTTTTAAGTTCTTATTTGTCTATTTGTAGTGTATTAAATTCATTAAATAATAAGTGTTTGTAAAATTGGAATATGATTCTGGAAATAAAGTGATTTTATTATTTATTTTTATTATTATAAATCAATTTTCTTTCTTCAGAGGGATCGCCGCAAAGACAAACAGAAGCTGAAACAGCGTAAAGAAAACGATGTGCCACAAGCTATGCTGCAGGGTGATCAGCCGGCTAGGAAACGAAGCAAACTTGTACTGCCTGAACCGCAAGTTACTGATCAGGTTAGTGCCTAACTGTAATAATTATAACCATTTAATAATGTGGCATTATGTTTTGTAACATTCTATTCGAGCTAACTCAACATTTTTGTACTTGTTTTGTATAAAACCCTATTAAATATGGTTTAATGTTACAGATGAGTTGTATGTATTAAAACAAGACTAACTAGTTGATACCAAAAATACTGATAAGTCATTTGAATAGTAACTGATTGAAGACTATATACCCAAATATGTGAACCCTTTAATATGAATATCATATAATGTTCCTGGTAATTTCCCAACTTTGGCCAGGGTCTGCCTTAAATGTTGTGAATAGTTTTGGTATAGTAATAGTTTAGTCATAATCATACCATTTACCACCTCCTAATATTGAAATATTTGATATTTTCTTCATGTTATATCTGTTCGTCATTATACAGGGTGACTGGTGACTTACTATCGATACTTGAGGACGTGATATTTGACGATCATATATGACAA